AACTGAGGAGGACCTGAAGCGCCTGCTGCAGAGTGTCAAGGACTGCAGCCTACAATATGGATTGAGGCTCAATGTCAAGAAAACAAAGATTCTCACCAAAGGGCCAATTGATAGCGCCATCATAGAGAGAGATTAAAATTGTTAAAAATTTCTGCTTGCTTGGCTCCACAATCAACACTCTTAGCACCAGCAGTCAGGAAATCAAAAGACAAACTGCACTGGGAAAATCTGCTGTCAGGGACCTCTCCAGGGTGCTAAAGAACAATAATGTCAGTTTAGAGACTAAGATGTGCCTGATCCAGGCCATGGTCTTCGTAATTACATGCTACGCATCAGAGAGCTGGACAATGACTAAGGACACAGAAGAAAAACTGATGCCTTTGATTTGTGGTGCTGGAGAAGAATACTGAACACACCATGTACTGACAAAAAAACAAACAGGTTTGTCTTCTAGAGGGTGAAACAATGTTGCTCCTTGGAGGCAAGGATTTTGAAACTCAGTCTCACATAGTTATGGCATGTGGCCAGGAGGGACTGGTCCTTGGAGAAGGATATCATGCTTGGAAGGGTGGAGGGTCAGTGCAGGAGAGGAAGACCTTAGATGAGGTGGACTGATATAGTAACTGGGGTCATGGGGTTAAGTGTGTTGGAGTCAGGGATACTGGCTCAGGACGGGGCAGGGGTTCAGAGCTATTATATGTAGAGTCGGTATGAGTCACAGGCAACTCCTAAGAAAGGTTAAGTATAGAAGAAGTGAAAGGGTGTCAAAGCAATTGTACAATTTTAAAACATCACAAGTAAACATCAACTGGTTCCTCTTAACACTGGGAAATAAAAGTAAACTATTTACAAATGCAAAAATGCTGGGTTTCGGCTGGAGCAGCCTGGGGGCTGCAGTACTGAAATAGGGGGTCCACTTCTCTAAGGACATGACGCCATCGACAAGCACTCATCTCTACACCTCACACGGTGGGCTGGGGAGCAAACAGGAAGCAGGGTGCAGAGGCCACGTACCTGTTTGCGGTATGGCGTGATCACGCCAATGTCACTTGCGGACACCTGACTGGAGAGGCTTCGGGCCAGCAGGCAGCAGTAGCGCATGACCTGAACGGCTTCAGCGGGGTTGAACCATGAGGGACTTCGACCTTCACGTGCTTCACTGCCCTGTGTTCATGGGGAGAGAACAGGATGGCACACACAGCACCATGCTGTTTACTCACAGACCTGTGGTGGGCTCACCTGAGCTGAGCTGGACCCTGCCCTCCTGGTAGGGCTGGGAATCCCTGACTATCCCCACCGCTGGAAGTCTCTTGTCTGGGGCTGCAGATTCAGGGTGGGAAGGCCAGGGCAGCGCTGAAAGGAGGCAGGGTCAGGCCCGCAGCAGGCAGGAGGGGGCAGAAGAGAATCGCCTGCCAGAGACAGGACATTTGGCCATGTCTAGAAAGCCAGGCAGCCACTACGTGTGTCCAGAGGCTGCTGAAAGGGCCTCCCCAGACCATGTGGCCCCCACTTTCGCCACGCTCTTATCCTTTTCTCCCCACCTCAAGGGACCTCTCCCTCTTTGCCAATGTCTCTGCCCCACGTGCAGCAGCCCCTAACCCTCAAGATCATTCTCATGAGGGAAGAGAGAAGCTGTGCTAGTGTTTCCGGGAAGGCATCGATTCTTCTTTTGTCTTTCTTATTATCTTAGAAACAAAAGGAAATATTTCTGTAAATCCACCCTTTGCATCATAACGGAGAGTGGGGTTTGTGTAGGCAAAAGGTCAAAGGTCCAGGAGCCTGGACAGACTGGGGCTGCCAAGTGTTACAGATCTGAGGACGCCAGTGGTGCTGACATTCCTAACAGCGCCTCTTGTAGGCAGCATGCATCCCACGCCTGCAGAGAACTCGGAGGGGGAATGAGGAGGACACCCACACTCTGGGAGATCTGTGAGGTGCTGAACAGAAAGTTCCTCCTTTGACTCTCAAACCCACTTGTATCTGGTCTCTTTGTTAATGAAATCACTTACAAGAGTCTTGCGTAAAACCCTTGTATAAAATTAGTTTCACTCAGTGCATTTCAGAATTGTTGTTGTTATGTGCCCCTGAGTCACCTTCAACTCACAGCAACCCTATGTACAAAAGCCCTAGACCCTGCTCTGTCCTGTGCCAATCTCACCATCTCCAACACACCTTACCTCCATTACCCCAGTCACTGAATTAATCCTTCTCATCGAGGGTCTTCCTCTCCTGTGCTGTCCCTCCACCCTCCCAAGCATGACGTCCCTCTCCAAGGACTGGTCCCTCCTTGCAACATGTCCAAAGTATGTCAGACAGAGCTTCAGAATCCTTGCCTCCAAGGAGCGGCCCGTCTTTACCCTCTCTAGGACAAAGCTGTTTGTTTTCCTAGCAGTCCATGGTATATTCAATACTTTACTCCACTACCACAGCTCAAAAGCATCAGTTCTTTTTCTATCATCCCTAGTCATTGTCCAGCTCTCTGATGCATAGCAAGTGACTGTAAAGACTATGGCCTGTATCAGGAGCACCTTAGTCTCCAGAGTGATATCTTTGCACTTCAGCACTTTAGAGAAGTCTCTAACCATAGACTTTCCCATCGTAATATGTCTTTTAATTTTGTTCCTGGCTGCTGGTGCCAAGAGTGTTGACTGTGGATCCAAGCAAACCAAAACTGTGAACAATCTCAATCTCTTCACCATCCATTATGATGCTGCCAATTGGCCCAGTGGTGAGAATCTTTGTTTTCTTGATATTTAGTCGCAATCCATATTGAAGACTGCAGTCATTGACCTTCCACAGCAAGCGCTTCAGGTCCTTAGTTTCAGCAAACAGGGTTGTGTCATCCGCATAACGCAGATTGTTTATGATTCTTCCTCCAATCCTGATGCCACATTTCTCCTCACAGAGCCCAGCCTCCCAGAAAACCTGTTTGCATAAAGATTGAAAAGATATGGAGACAGGATACAGCCCTGGCACACACCCTTCCCAATTTTGAACCATGCAGTGTTTCCCTGCTCTGTTCTGACGACTGTCTCCTGGTCCAAGTACAGGTTTCGCATTAGAACGATCAAGTGTTCTGGGATTCCCATTCTTCTCAGAATTAGCCACAGTTTTTTATGATCCACACAGTCAAATGCCTTTGCATAATCAATGAAACAAAGATAAGACATTTTTCTGGTACTCCTTGCTTTCAGCCAAGATCCATCTAACATTAGCTATAATATCCCCAGTACCACAGCCCGGTGTAAACCCAGCCTGCAGTTCTGCTAGTTCTCTGTTGATGTGCTGTTCCAGTCATTTTTGGCTATCTTCAGCAAATTCTTGCTTGCATGTGATATTAATGATACTGTTCAATAATTTTAACACTCTGTGGGATCACCTTTCTTTGGAATGGGAACAAATATAACCTCTTCCAGTTAGTTGGCCAAGTGGTTCTTCTCCAGATTTCTTGGCACAACTTGGTGAGCACATCTAGGGCAGCATCTGTTAGATGAAATATATCAACTGGTACGCCATCAATTCCTGGGGTCTTATTCTTAGCCAATTCTTTCAAAGCAATCTGAACTTCTTCCTTTATCACCATAGGCTCTTGCTCATATGTTGTTTATTAGACTTTTTAGTTATAATGAAGTACATTCTCCATGTGACTATAGGCTGATGTCACACCCGAGGCCTCTATTCCTGAAGGTGTCTCTGGAAAGGGGGCAGTGGTGGCATCCGACCCCATCTAACACCCTGTGGCAGGAGGAGCGCCAGCAGCAGCCCCGGCTGCCCTGGCTGGTTCTGTGAGCTCAGCTGCGCCTGTTCTTGCTTTTCTTAGTTCTGGACATGGGTGTCTGGGTGTCCTTCCATGGCCTCTCCTGCTCTGCAGGGCGTGGAAGCTCAGTGCAGTGGCCTCCCACAGCTCACAAACCGTACTCACGACTGTGGGGCTTACTCAGGAAGTGCAAGATTGGATGAGCTGGGGGTCCTGTGCTTTGTCTGGGTGGCTTTCTGGCCATACTCCGAGGCGTGCCTGTCCTTGACCCTGTGGGCCGACACAGCATCTGCTCAAGAAAGTGGGACAGATCCTCTCAACTGACAAGTGTCCAGGGTGCCCACCTCTCTAGCTCTAGGGCCTGCGTGATTTTGTTTGCACTAATGTCCCATCACAGCAGACTGGGGACCCTGTTCTAGGTGTTTGGGGAAGAGTAGGGGCCTTCTGCCTTGAGGAGGTAGGCAAGGAAGTGGACCCGTGCTCCCACAGGACATCCCCTGAACCGAGTCTTTCGGTCAGTCCTGGGGCATGACTGTCCCTCGTGAGTCTCCTGACGAAGCCCGGCAGCTGCTCCCCGTGACCAGATGTGCCCTCTAAGCACGGCAGTCAGTGCTGCTCTCAGGGGGTTGGGCCTGTTCTTACAGTTCTCCCTCCTAGTGGTTCAGCACTTTCCACAGCCCAGCAGGTGCAGGATTGAAGCCTGGTTAAAGATACACACGTAGAGAACACCCTGCCCACCATCGGACAGCTGTCCGAGCCAAGCTGGCCTCCTGGCCGCCACCGCTTCCTCAGCCACCTACCCTGACGCCGTGGAAGATGAGTGGGAAGCCCTTCCTGGGTAGCTTCTCCCAGCCCAGCAGGGAGGTGACCACTGTGGGGTCCGCACAGACCTCAAGCTCCTTGTGGTAGAAGAGTCTAGACGGCAGTGCGAGCAGCGCTGAGTGGGACCTGTAGTTCTTCACGAGCTTGGTGACCTGTCAGGGAATGGGTGTCACCAGGGAAATAAACCCCTGACAAGGGCAGGTGGGGGCAGGCAAGAGGCTCCGCCCACAGCCACCCTGCACCCTGCCACAGGGCCGCTGGGCTGCACTGCCTGTGGGCACGTGGCTGGGTGCCCTCGAGAACTGCTGGGGTCCTTCTCTAGGACCACACACCCTTACTTATCCTCGTCCAGCAGCAGAGGGCTCACTGACTGCCTGCAGCTGAGGGCAGTGCCAACACGTCCTCTCACCCTAATCGCTCGGCCCCCGTGGTATGTATTTTCAAGGGGATGGAAATGCGGAACAGGCTCTGGGCTATGGGTCTGGAAATGTGCCCAGTCTCACACCGTGTCTTCTGGTTGGCAGTGCTGTGAGCACAGAGCGCAGGCTCAGGGAGAGGTGGTGCCCTCATGTTTCAGGACCCTGGAGTCCAGGTCATGCTTTCTCCCTGTTGTCACAGAGAAGTCTCAGCTCCAGCCACAGGCAGCCTGGAACACTCAGCACCACCAGGGCCTGGCACAGGGAGCCCAGAGGCAGCAAGCTGTTCCCACACCTCCCAGACACCCCTCCAGATACCCATCTACGTGAGGTGTACACGGCTGTGTCCACAGGCTGGCCAGACAGCAGGACAAGCTCACCAGTAGGGGGTTGTAGGCCCCACAAGCCCCAAAGGCATCCTCGTCCCTCAGGTATGCCGGCCGTGACATCAGCCTCTCCAGCATGGACACGTTGAGGCCGTAGGCCATGGCGAGTCTGGACTTGATGACTGGTCCTAGTTGCATGGGGTCTCCAGCCAGCACAATCTGTGGACACAGTGCCAGGTGAGGTGAAGGTCACAACCAAAGACTGATGACGGGTCGGAAGCAGGCAGGAAGTTTCCTGAGGTGAGAAGGCAGGCCTTGTGCTAGTCATAAGGGGTCGTCGAACCCAGGCTGAGGCAGATGGGCCACTCTGACCCCCAGAGGAGATGGACTAGAGGATGAGAGATGGTGGAGGGACAGGGAGCTGCAAAAGGTGTCCACACAGGGCTGCACTAGCCCAGCTGGAGGGTCACTGATGCAGGTGAGAAACAAGATGCAGCCTGGTGACAAAGATGGCTCACTTCTGCCCTGATGGTCTGGGTTCCCTCTCCCCAGGGCTCCTCATGGCCTTGGAAACCTGGTTCCCTCTTCCTGGATCTTCCTGCAGCCCTGATGACCTGGTCCCCTCTACCTGAGTCTTCTCAAGGACCTGCTGACCTGCTCCCCTCTCCTGGCGTGTCCTCAAGGCCCTGTTGACCTGGTCCCCTCTCCCCAAGTCTTCTCACAGCCCTGTTGACCTGGTCCCCTCTCCCCAAGTCTCCTCACAGCCCTGATGACCTGGTCCCCTCTCTCCGAGTCTCCTCAACGCCGTGATGACCTGGTCCCCTCTCCCAGGGTCTCCTCATGGTACTGATGACCTTGGTCTCCTTTCCCAGTTTCCTCATGGTCCTGGTGACTTAGATGAGGCAGGACGATTTGCCTCTCATCAAGGGCTGGCAGTGGGGCTCAGAGGAGGCGCAGTGTTGACCGTGGACACCAGTTGTGGCACAGTCGTGTGCAGATTACGACAGCAGCATAGAGAGAGACAAGGCGGTGGTGTGGGTCAACAGTGAGGACTGGGGAAACCCTGAGGGGAGGGCACAGGTGGGTCCAATCTTCTCGGCAGGGATGTGCTCACGATGTGTGGCTATTTGCATGCCAGCACTGCTGTGTCATGCGAGCCCACAGTCAGGCCAGCACCCCCTGGTTTGATGAAGCTATTGTTCCTCTGCCTGTGACTGAACCCTGGCCCAGGGCCCCACCTTTCCTGTCCTCAGAGATAGGATGGGACGAGCAGACGCGTGAGAGGAGCCTTACCTGGCCGCTGACGTCCGAGATGAGCCCCAGAGGGATGAGGCATTCTGGCTCGCTTGCTTGTCCTGCCTCATCCACAAACACATGCGTAAAATGCCCGACCCTACGGGCAAAGATGCGCTCAGTCCAGCTGCTGCGGCCCAACGTCCTCCGGGACACGGCACCGAGAGCCAAGGGGAGCCTGCCTGGGGGAGCTCCTGTGGACTGGGGGCTACTGTCAGGAGGGCCCCCAGGACTGTCCCGGAGGTAGGGACAGCGAGTGGACAAGCACTCCTTCAGCTGAGCGCAGGGGGCTGTCAGCTCAGCCAGGACCTGCCCGGTCTGCCTGTCCCCGTGTAACGTAAGGCGGGATACTGCAGGGTTCATGGACAGCTGGTCTTGCCTCAGTTCCCCCACCTGGGGTCTGCCCATTTCTTCATGACTAATCCTGCTGACCTCCAAAATCCACCGGCATCACCTTGGAATGAGGCAGGACATGTGGTGGCACCCCAAGCCCCGGCCACTGTGGACGTCTCTGGGACGCTGTTAGCACAGCTCTGCCAAGACTGAGGACAGGGAGCTGCCGCTGGCCCGCCCGGTCAGCCTGGGACTGACGTGACTGAGGGACTGCTGGGCCCTCACCTCACCCCGATCTGGTAGAAGAGCCCAGCACTGCTGCACGTCGTAATGATTACTCTGAAGCGTGAGGCTTTCCAGATGTCCTCTCCGTCCCGGCAATACGGCTTGATGGCGTCCAGGATGGTCTGGGGAGGCCGGCAGGCAGCACCCGCTCACACTCTGCTCCCCAGGATGGGTTCCCTGAGGGAAGTGGTGGTTCCCACCGCCCAGCCCACACGGTGAGGAACCGAACAGAATCCTGCAGATTCTCCCCACTAGGTTTGCAGTAGTTTCTAGATCTCAGTCCTCCAGATTTCATAAGGAAATTCAGATTGCTCCCTCTTTTCCTAAAGGGATACTCAGAGCCACAGCAACTGGACTGGAAGGGACTGAGACCCGCAGAAGCACCCACCATGGGATCAGATGCCCACTTGACTTGTCCAGGTGCCCAGCTCTCACCCGCGTGTCCTTGCCCAGCCCCTGGGGTGCACTCACCTCCTCGAACCTGCAGGTGGCGTTCACGCGGACCATGGTGCCTGGTCGCAGCACCTGGCTCTCGTGCAGCCGCAGACACACCAGGTCTGCAGCGCTGTTAGACGGGGCGCAGACCAGGATCCGACTGTCCGGCAAAGCAAAGTACACCTGAGCCAGAGCCAGAGGACCGTGAGTGCAGGGCCGAGGTGGGCTGGCTCACCCACACACCCTGCTCTGTGGGCTCCGTGCACACACTCCTCGGATACACCGCCCACTCTGCCCGGAGAATACTGCCAAACCGCAAAGTGAGGCGGCCTGTCCTGTGGGTCCTGCATGGCCCAGCCTCTCCGAGGCAGGCTCTGGGCACGTGAGTCTGCGGGCACCCACAGCAGCACAGGGCTGGGTGCTTAGCAAACACAGGATGAAAGGATCCAGAGAGGTTCCCAAAGAGGACACAGCCAGCAGATAGACCTTGACACACCCAACAGTGTCAACAGGGACACCAGGAATGTGGCTTCACTATGAAAAAGATGACATCTTTCCTGCCGTAAAACGTCAGGAAGTCACCACATGGCTTCCTGTCCTGGTGACCCTATCAGAAACATCCCTATTCCTATCAGTCACCCCAAACCTACCTGCACACTGTGCAGTGAAAGCACTTCGCTAAAGCTTGGGGCTCTGACATAAGCTAGAGTGTCTCAGTGACCAGCAGGCATGTGACAGGGCAGCCCTGGCAGGGTGGGCAACATGGGTAGACAGGGCGGGCAGGCAGGGAAGGCCTGACAGGGCAGGCAGAACAGGCAGGCAGGCAGGGCGGGCAGGCAGGTAGGCAGGGTGGGCGGGCAGGTAGGCAGGGCGGGCCGGTAGGCAGGCAGGTAGGCAGGGAGGGCAGGCAGGGTGGGCAGGGCAGAAAGGTAGACAGGGCGGGCCGGCAGGACGCGTGGGCAGGCAGGTTAGGCTGGCACCATCCATACCTGCAGAACAGCCTCGATAATGGTCACGGTCTTCCCGGTCCCAGGAGGCCCAAAGAGGACGTATGGGAGAGGGCGGCAGTCACCGCTCAGAATCCTTCTGACCGCTAGTTTCTGGTTTTCGTTCAGCATGGGGTTGAAGAACTCCGTCTCTCTTGCTGTCACAGTCAGGGCTTGATTTGCTGGGTTGAAATTGGAGAACCAGCTTTTGTTAGAGGTTGGAGGAACTCAAAGCTGTGGCCCACCTGGCTCTGGCGCTGCAGCGCCCACAGCTCTAAGGGTCAAAGTGACACTAAAGTCAGTGGTGCACTCCTCCAGGTAACTGCTGACAGGTGTAGGTCACAATCCCAACAACCTGATGAAGTCTCGCAGAACAGTCAGGAAGGCTGGCCAGCAGACCCTCGGTGAGAACCCGCTGGGTCCCGGGGCCTCAACAGGCGCTGCCCTGCGGGGCCAGGTCAGCTCTGAGAGATGCTGTGAGCCACACACTGCCAGTCCTTCTTTCCCACAGAAAGGGGCTTTTCTTCCAGCCCACCTCCCTCCTGGCCCCTCAGATGTACACCATCCCAGCACATCCCTCCCCGTGCCTAACCGTGCTCTGGGCCCCACTCACTCGGCCCTGTCGCGAAGGGCACCATGCTCAGCACATCCCTGTCCTTGGTACCGGCCCGCCTCTCCTTTGCCACGTGTTTCCTTTGATCCTTCCCAGTTTTTTTGTTCTAGAAGTAATCACACAGAAAAAGGTCTGGATAAAAATCTAACACATTGACGAAGAGCAACCAAGTGTTCACACTGGACGCGCTGGACGCGCTCAGTTCTCCCTGCCGGCTGTGTCAGTTCTTCAGGTTGCTCACAGGTCATGTCATCAAAATGACAAAAATCGAGACCATGTCTTACAAAGCTGGGAAGAATGGTTAGTTCCTTTCTCAATTCCTTTAAAAAAGAAAGTTTTGTCAAGAAAAAAAGCTGAAACCAAACAACAGGAGCACATTTTACCTAATGAAATGCCCTCACCCTGCTGACTTCCCGTTTTCCCCAGGACGGGGCGGTGCCTGCTCCGCGCCTGGGCGTGCAAGCACCTGGATGCAATGTGCCCTGACCATCCTCTTTGGCGTGCAGCACCTCAGGCACACCCTGACCCCCTTCAGAGAGGACAATGTGCTCTCTACAGCAGAGACGGCCTTTTGGGGAACAGTCAGTCAGCAAGGTTCAGAATTCAGCATGTTTAAAGTTGATCTTTGACACCAGATGCTCTGCCGGGGAAGGAGGGGCAATCTCCTCCTGTACCAGTCAGATCTGATTTGACGGTACACGCACACAATAATTAAAAACACACACACACACACACACACACACACACACAGAGTTGATCTTTGAGCTTCCTGCTTTCCTGTTTTCTGTAACACAGCGCTGAAGGTACCAGCTGCGTGCAGCGTCTGGGTGCTGCCACCAGGACCTACCTCCACACCGGGCGACCTGCGGCTCCTGGGTCGGGAAAGCCACAGCACTCTGCCGTTTCAGCTCTAAAAGGTTAGTGTTAAGTGACAGTCTAAAGGGAAAGCGAGACACTGTCGGTGCTTCTACACATTTTTCCCCCTCAGGGCTTGTATCCGCTTTTTTCTTTTTTATTATTATTTGTTGTTGTTGTTGTTATGTGCCGTCGAGTCGTTTGCGACTCATAGCGACCC